GTGCGGTGGGCCACGGGCCAGTCCCACCACTGGGAGCAATGGAGGTGAGATGGCGTCCGAAGGGTGCGGTGCCCTCCGCCTCGTGCAGACAGTGACCGGGCGGCCGTGGGCATGCCAGGTGGTGGCTTCTCAGCAGGACCCAGCGAGCTGGCACGGGATCTCGAGCCTCGAGCAATCGGTGTGTGCTGTGTGAGCCACGGGTCTGTGGCACTTTGCACGGCGAGGTGACAAGACAACCCGAGCCCGTGGGGGCTGCGAGCAGCCCCCGCCCGGGGCCTCAGTGTCTCTGTCGTGCACTGTGACGGGGCTCCTCACGCCGGATTTCCCAGCGACCGAGTCCCTGCTCCTGCCACCACCGTCCTCCAGCAGAAGTATGTGCGGGGCAGGGCATGCGGTGGCAGCTCCCCCGTGAGCTCCAGGCTGTGGCTGGTGCGCAGGCTCCTGGCACCAGTCCCTGGTCTCGCCCTGTAAACAGCGTTAAGATAGTAAACTCTGAGAACTACTCTCAGGCCACTCAGATGCCACCACGAACCATGTGGACACAGAAGACCCGCGAGCGTCAGGCAGAAGAGACGAGAAGCGGAGCCTCGGAAAGCTGAGCGTGCCTTTAAAACCTTTGCTCCCAGTGAGCGCAGGGAACACGTGGAAATGCGCACCATCTGAGTTCCCTGGGCCGGCGTGAGCAGGGATGCTGGCCAGGCCGAGGACGCCGGTGGGCTGCCTGGTTGGAGTGCAGAGTGGCCGGACCACAGCTCGTGACATTGTCCTGTTGGTGAAACACAAGAACAAGCCAAACACCAACCAAGCAGTGGTCGAGCACAAAGCTGGCCAAGACATGGCGTGCCGAGGCCGACGCTGAAGCTGTGGACGGAGGCACCTGGCAGGAGGCCCCGCAGCGACGCCTGGGAACATCAGCCGGTGCCTGCGGACGCTCCCACGTGCACGCTGCAGACAGAGACCTGCCCGTGGCGTAGACAGGACATATGGCCAGGGGTGGCAGCAGCCGCCTGAGCGTAGGGAAAGGAGAGCGGGCTCGAGCGCACTGTTTCACTTCCTAACAGAAGGACACAGGAGACGACCACGGACACACGGACGTGACCGAGCCGACCACAGGGCACACCCGTCATCACAGTCATCTACCCTTTCTGGATGCTTCACCTGGTTTTCAATGAAATAAAGTGGAGACTGTATCACAGACGGGGTCCGTCATCTGAGACGCATGGAATAATGAGCTCGTTTGTTGGGACTGCAGCTGGACTCCATGCGTCCTCACTGGGCGCGCTCCTACCTGGCGCTGGGAACACGGGGGGCCCAGAGCCCGCAGGCCGAGCAGGGTCGAGCGCGCCGGCCTGTGCGGCCCCGGACCCCACACCACATCAGCACACACGACAACGGCGACCTCAGCCTCCGGGCGGACGGATGCCCGAGGGGACATGTGTACGTCCTGCTGCCCGCGGGCACTCAGAGCAGGAAACACGGTGGCAAGAAGCAGCTCTGCGGCTGGCCACGCGGAGGGAGTGTCCCGAATGACCCCGGTCTTCAGCGCTGTGCTCGCCTTTGCCTGGAGACGCAGCGGCTTTTCTTCCGCCCGCTGAACAGCCAGGCGAGTTCTGGGAACGGGCTGAAGAGAAACGTTTAGGTTGGAGGGTCTTTGAGCAGTTGACAGCTGACTGATGGCCGCCCGGGAGGCCACAGAGCAGAGCGGTGCGGCGGGGCGCGTCACATCGCCTCTCCCTGGGAAACTAATTGCTCCCGATTGTTCCGAGCAACATTATTTTTCTGGCAATCATTTCCTTTGAATGCCCAAAATGAGCATGAAACAGCTCTTTTGCCCGGACATAAAAGTTAAATGTCCCAATGTTGATCAAATTAACTTGAGCGCCGGGACAATGGACTGTATTTCTGAGAAAATAATGGGGGGACAACGGGGCGCTTCATGCCAGGATTTCACAGTTGTAATGTAGAATGTTCTGTTGAACTAGGCCAGGCCACGTTTCAAAGGGGAGACAGAAGAGCCCTGTCACTTGTGGAAAAAAATCTCATTTCACGGCGGAAAGCTTGGGAAGCCGTCAGGAAGTTCTGGTGCTGGCGGCTCAGGAAGGATGGTGCTCCACGGCCTCCGCTCGTTTAATCCGCAGAACGCACCCCAGGGGCTCAACTGTGCACACAGAGGGGCAAGCGCTCCCGCGGGAGGACAGGTCCCCAGGTGCACGCAGAGGCCCCCGCACCGCCTGCCTCCCAGCCTCCCAGCCTGACACTCTTTGTTAATCACGGATGAAAAGCAAAATATTCATGAACTGCACAAAAAACGTTAAGATTATTATTTGTAATAAAACCCAGAGGGCCCGCGGGCTGCGCTTTATTGACACTGAGGACCTCATCGTCCGACGTCTCGGACAGGAGCCCTTTCCAGGTGAGCCCAGGCTGGGGTCAGCGTCCACACAGGCCACATCCTGCACGAGGCGCGCCGTGGCACTCACAGTCCACACTGCTGGGGGGTCAAACACTTGTGAAGTTTGCACACTGCAGAGTTTGTCTCTCGGGTTTCTGTAAACTAAGTTTCTATTCTGGAACAATCTTAGGTTTACAGAGAAGTTGCCCATGTGGCACTGGGGGCCTCTGGGTTTTAACGGGGGCTTCCGGCCTCCAGTGCCGGGGGACGGGGACGCCAGGCTGCTGGGGTCTGACGCCACGGGGAGATGAAGCTGGGACCGGGCAGGCTCCCCTCTCAGGAGCCTCCTTGCTGTCTCCCTGCGTCCCCACAGAGCACGGCGGACAATGCTCCCCGAGGTTCCCAACGCTGTGAATGGGGCACTGTTGGTGGCAGCGTCCATTCAAAGGGCCAGCGTGGCATTGTCCTCCCGATCGGCAGAGCAGAATGCAGTCTGCTGGTGGCTGCCAAAAGGTTAGCCGCCCCGATGAAAGGACAGCCCGTTATTCTCCGCTCCTACAGAGCTGCCCTTTGTGCTGGGCGGCCCAGCCCTGCACGGTGGAGGTCCGGATCTGCGGCTGGCTGAGCTCCCCACAGAAGCGATTCATGGGAATGCAAAGTCGCAAAAGAGGGCCCCGAAACCCAGAGGCTGCTTTCCCGAAGGCTGTGGAGGAACGACAGCGGGGCCATGACATGCCGTAATGGCAAACCCCACCGACAGCCTGACTACAGTCACCGAGACCGGACTGTTCAGGGCTGTGTCCTGGCCCCAGACTCCACGGGAGGTCCCGGCGAGCGGGGCAGCCCACACAGAACCCGTCAGGCCGCAAGACCCACACAGGCTGCGGCTTGGAGCAGGTCCTGGCTCCCGGGACATGGGCTCGCTGGCCCGCCCACAGCACCCCAGCCAGGCAGCTCAGTGTGGGGAGCCAGCCCACGGCCCCCTCGAGGTGAGCCCTCTCCAGAGGGCCCTCCCTCACACGTCCCTGTCTTCCTGGCCCCCTCCAGCTGGACGGCCAGGCCAGCGCCCACCTGAGGGTTTCCACCTGCACCGACGTGGCGCAGAGGAGGCCTGCATGTTGGGGGCCCTCCAGAGTGGGCGTGGCTGAGAACAGGATGCGGGGAGCCCCACCACGGGTGGCCACGGGCCGGCATGCTGGGATGCAGCACCAGGACCCACCCAGTGTGCCCAGACCTCAGGCTGGCTCAGGCCTCTACAGCCCTCCAGTACCCAGGCACCAGTCCCACCTCTGAGCCCCATTCAGCCCGGGCCTGGGAGGCCAGGGGAGGCCCCTGAAGAGCAGCCACCCAGAACCCGTTCTGGGCTGAGGTCCAAAGCCCTCAGTGTGCAGGAGCAACAGATGCAACCAAGCCGCGTCTCACACTCACGGTTCCTCCGTGTGGACCTGGCAGGAGGCAGCGGGAGCCCTAGAGGTGAACCGGTGGCCACCGTCCCACATCAGACAGCACAAGGACAAAAGCCAACTCCCTGTCCAGAGCGCGTCCCTACTGAGCCCCGTAAGCAATCCAGAGGGATCGTGCATGGGGTGGGTGAGGCCCCATGCAGGTCGGGGCCAGGGCTGAGCTCGGGGCAGGGTGGAGCGGTGCTGGGTGCAGGCGGGAGGGTCAAAGGTCAGAGTCTAAGTCCTTGGCACAGGGGCAGAGGTGGGGTGGGGCAGGGCCCCCGGGGAAAATTTGAGATTGCTTGGGCAGAAACGGGGAGACCCCATCCGGGAGTGATAGCTCCCCCAGGGCCAAGTGGGTCGCTGATGTCCCTCAGGCCATGCAAGCTGGCAGGGGAAGGCTTGATCTGAGGACCGGGCAGAACCAGACAGCCCCATGGACTCGGGCGCCGAGGCTCCAACTAAGCAAAGGTTCATCTGCAAACCAAGAGAGATGCTGATGCTGGTCCAGGACCAAACATACCCTGTTGTTAATCACGGTATGAGGGGCTGCCTTTCTTTCCCAGATGCCCCCCAGCCCTGACCCTGGGGAAGGTCACACAGCGTGGTCTTGGATGGGTGGCAGGCCTCGTGGGGTCCAGGGTAGGAGGTCCTGAACACCGGCCAAGAGGGAGCTCAAGGAGCAGAGGAGTGAGGACAGGCTGGCTGGAGCCTGGGCAGGAGGGGCACAAGACCACCGGGACCCCCGCCCCCAGGCCCTGGGCTGCAGAGAGACAGAGCCAGGAGAGCTGAGCTCGCGCACCCACGGCTGCTCCCAGGTGCCGCCACACCGAGCCCAGCAGCACCATGGGAAGGCTCGCCTGTGGCCAGCAGAACGTGCGCTCCAGCCTCTCCGAGCTCCTGGCTGAAATGCTGACGCTTCAGCGGACGTCTCCGTACGCTCGCCTGGCTTCCCCACAACATGGGAGGGAGTCAGGCCCCCCGACCTTCGGGTCTGTCCAGCAAAGGCTGCTCAAGCCTTGGGACCAGGGCTGGGATTTGGGGCAACATTTGCAAATTTTGTGTTTTGGCCAATAGGAAAACAACAGACGTGGACGAGTGGCCTAAGAGAGAGAGCCCGACCTTGGAGGAGGTGGGGCGGGAGGGGCCGCACGCGCAGCACCCACCTGTCGAGCACGTAGCCCAGGGCCTTATGCCGGATCCCCGAGTACACCGAAGGGCTTGTCTCCCAGGCGACCAAATTGGAAGCATCATGAAAAAGATGGATGTTGACCAAGTCAAAGGCACTGCAGGGACAGAAGGAGACACGGTGACAGATGGCTGGCGTTGCGGGGCACCAGCTCCCCGGGGCGATGTGGGGCCAGGGCCCGAGGGTCACAGTGGGCAGCGCCGCCTGCGCCCACTCCTGTCCCCCTCGGCTGCTCCAGGCCCACCCAGAGCACGTCCCCTGCCTGGTCAGAGGGGGACACAGGTGACCTCGGGGTCAGCTCTTAAATACGTCCGACCAACTGAGAAGGGCTGTTTCCTGCCAAAGAAAGAGATGTGACCTGATTGCAGGAACTCTCCTCAACCAGGAGGAAGGAAGAGGAAGGAGGAGGAGAATGGGAGGGAGGGACAGAGGAGGGGGTGGGGGGACGAGAGAGAAGGAGGGAGGAGGGAGGAGAAAGACAGGAAGCAGCAGGAGGAGACAGCAGACTCCGGGGCCTGGACCCCGTCACGGGCAGCTGGGGGTGTGGCCCGATGCCCCCAGAGCCCATCGGCTGCTCCCCATGGGGCCGTGACACCAGAGGAGGGGCACGAGGCGGTTCCTTCCACTCGGGAGAAGCCCCCAAGCTCACAACCCCTCAGGGAGGCCCCGCGGCAGGGAATCCGCTCGGCAGGGACGTGCACGATAAGGCCAGAATTCGGCCGGCAGCCCTCCCACCCCACAGAGAGCTCCTGGGCGTCACCGCAGACGTGTCCCCTCACAAGGTCGGTCGTCACAGTGCCAGGACCGCGAGGCCGAGGACCTTGTGAAACGCGTGTGCCAAGCTCACGACCGTCCCCCCGGTGGCAGGAGGGCAACGGAAGCAAATCCTCTCAGCCACACGGCGACCCGAGGACCCTCCCTGGCGCCCACGCTGCGGTGGCCAGCGAGGCATGAGCGCGGGCAAAGGGCACTGGCCGGATTCTGTTGGAGAGTCTGCAGCTCCTCCCCCCCTGGCCCGGGCAGAGCCGCCCGAAGGCCACAGGGAGGGCACTGTGCCAACCGCAGGGGCGGCTGAGGGCCTGCCCGGGATGGGACACCCGGCAGGCACTCACTCAGCGCCCCCACCCCTGGCCGGACGTGCCCTCAGCTGACAGAAGGCCTTCCCACGGCCACTGACGGGACGCATGCGGCTCTAGGACCCTAAAACCCGTGGTCCCAGGGAGCTCAGGGGAGGAGAGCAGGTGCGAGAATCTGAGGATTCCACTGAGGCAGCAAGGGCCGCCCCAGACGGAGAGCCAGCCCACAGGCAGGCCAGGCCCGAGGGTCGACTTGGGGAGGGTCTGCCAGCCCTGTGCTCGGTGTCCACTGCGGCTGACCGTGGCCTGCGGAGGGTTGCCTGGGTGGCACTCGGACGCCTGTGCCCATGGGAGGAGGCGGTGGGGCCTGAGTTGTGCCTGAGCTGGGACCCCAGGCAACAGGACGGTGTCACACGGAGTCTCCGAAAACAAAGCGGGCCGAAGACTGGTGGGCAGCTTATGACTGGACGTGCGGCCACACCACACAAAAGCCAGGGAAAACGTTCCGAAGTTTACGAAGCAAGGTGACAGTCGCCACGATAAACGTACCAGTCTGCAACGCACCATCTTGTCCGCACGAAGCCTTTTCTCGACCATTTGCACTGAAAAACAAACAGGTTGCGCAGATGAGCCAGCTTAAAAGAGGAAGGGGACAGACACCCAGGACGCTTTCAATCAGGAAGAGCAACGCTCATCCTTCCGCCGAAGGCCTTCTGCTCACAACCCAAGTGTGCGCCTCGTAAGCGTCCCACACGAAGCTCGCCAGGGCGCCTCACGCTCAGCGCCCGGAAAAGGTAGGCAACGGCGCGGTCAGCGATACCTTCTGGGTGAGGATGCCCCGGCTGAGCAGAGGCCTGCACGTGCCTGCCAAGGCCCTGCCTGGAGCTGTCCACTAGCGGGGACATGCTGGGCCCTGGCGGACGAGAGCCTGTCAGCAGGGAAGGGCGTTGGACCAAAGAAACCCGCTCTTTATTTCTGCTACACTTGCCCGAAGAACAGCCTGTGTTCTAGAAGCTGGGAGGAGGGTCCCTGGCTTCCCACACTCCTCTTGCTGGTTGAAGGGGACGTGAGGGGCAGGACGCCACACGCGCACCCTTTCCAGGGCTGCTTCGCTAGCAGGGGAGAGACCCGCCGTGCTGACACGTCCCTCATCCAGTGCAGGTGACCGGCTTGTCCCGTGTGCTCACACCGGCGGGGAAGGGGTGCTGCACTGCGTCTCGCTGCCCCACACACGAGCCATGCCCAGCAGGGCCATCGAGCACGGCAGATGGTCTGTGGTGTCTGGATTTATTCCATTTCAGTAGCCACGCTGGACGGGGCAGCTCACAGCCCAGGCAGTGGGAGTGGGGCTCCTGCTCACATGCCCCGCAAGCCCCAGGAGGCACTGGGGAGACCTCCCCGAACCCCCAGTTTTCAAACACTTCAGAAAGCTGGACAGACATGTGCAGTCCCCCCCGAGCCCCGGGGGCATGTCCCTCCGCTGTGCCGGCAGGAGCAGCTCGGGGGACGGAGGGGGAGGACGGGAGGATGGCCGTGGTGACGCACGTGTCCTCGGGGGCCTGGGCTCGCGGTGCCCGTGGTAACCATGTGGATCCAGGGTGGAGCGCTGACAGAAAGTGCTCCCTGGGGGAGTCCAGAATCACAGGGGCTCTAGACACTTACCTAATGCGAATAATTCAGCGGCTAAAACCCCTGCTTGACCCCACATCCCCCTCAGGCCCTGTCCCCCTGTTGTTTCCCTCCTGACCAGCTTCACAAGGTGTCCGGCTTGGTTCCTATGGTGACACCCTGCTTGGGGGGGGGGTGCTGTCTTCAAGGTCACCACAACCTCCAGGTGCAAACGCCGCAGCTCTGGAGCCTCCCGCTGCCAAGTGTCCACCACGCACCCGCCCCCGCTGCCACCAAGCTCACCAGGCTGAGCCAAACGCCCACTGACTGGCCCTGACCTAGGTTTTCTCTCGTCTCACGCACAGTCGCTGACGCTCTGCCAGCGCCAGTCTTTGCTCTCCCCACGCAGCCACAGGACCCGGGGTGCGTGTGCGAGGAGAGGACAGGGCGCCCTCCCTGCTTCCACAAGAGCAGCATGGCCGGGACAGATGCTCGACGTGAGACCCCACGCCCCAGCCCGGTGCCAAGCCGTGCTGCCGAGACCCAAGCTGAATTTGACCCGACCACCTCGGATCTCACGTCCATTAAAATTGGAAGGCATTTGTGAATTTAATATAATTAACCAAGAATTAATGATTGTTCTCAATTGTCAATTACGTGTTAAGTAAGGTCTCTCTGCATACGGACACCGCACACGTATCTTCAATAACTGTGCACGCGTGTATCTTTTTTTAGACATTGAAACTGTCCACAGTAATGGGGAATTTTTAACATTATTAACAGAATACGTACATAAAGCATGAGTTAATTTGTTACTTTTTTATATAATATAGATTTGTAATAATTGTAATTTTAGGATTCTAACTAGATTTAAGATTTTTAACTATATTGCAAATAAACCTCAAAAAAGCTTAACAATGTAACATTATTACACCCAAATATTTTAACTAAACGTTTGTAGAAAATACGTTACTTCTGAAGTAAGTTCATCATTATAATTACAAATGTGTTTAGGCTGCATTTCCAAGTAATTCCCAGGATGAAAAAGTGGGGCTAGAGCCTGGGACATCCTGACATGTGGGAGCCTGGGCTCCGCAGGGAATCGCGTGTCCTCGGGCGGCACTGGGCTGCACCAGGGGTCCTTCCAGAAACCGCCTTCCTCACCCCTGGTGTGCCCCCCGTCCTTCTACCCGAGGGCTGGGCAGGTGGTCATGACAAGCACGCCAGATTCAGGGTGCAGCACCAGGGCTGAACACGGTCACCTGCCCGAGACCACCGGCTCCTTGCAGAAGGAACCAGAACTGGAATTTCCCTCAGCCCCTTGTCGGGACCGTCCCTTCCCTACTGTGGCTGAGCCCTGACCCAGGGACGCTCACCTGGGCCACGCTGGGACAGGGCAGGGCCAGGAACACATCCCAATCATCAGAAGGGCAAGTGCCTGCCCGGTGAGGCTTCCCTGCATGACATCCTAGTGGAAACGCACACTCATGCACACGCACACACATGCACACGTGCACGCACACATCCACAGCGGTCCTGCACCCGGGAGGGACGGCGATAGGAACCAGTGCCTCCGTCACAGGCTGGGGGTTCCCTCGAATGTCGACTGATCTGTTTCATCCCATGCACGTGCAGAAACTTTCTGGTCACCAGGCACCTTCCGAAACCTCCCTGCGGGCGACCGCGTAGGGACAGCAGTGGCCAGGTGCACGCCCTGCTTGCAGAGAGGCTGTCGCCAGGGAATGAAACCATGTCACACTGGGCTGGGGGGGGGGGTGCTGTGCCACATCGCTCACCTTGCAATATTAAGTCCCTGCTCAGACCCCCTGTTAATAGGATTCCTTTAGCCAGCAGATGGATGGTGAATGCAGGATGGTTCATCCACTAAAGGACAGCATAAATCAGCGCGGAGAAAAGGGAGGCTGTGGGGAGGTTATCCGCACGCAGCCTTGCCCGTGAAAGGCCCGCTTTGGAGCATTAGTGAAATTAATCCATCTTTCATAAGAGCCTGGAGCAGTCCCGGTGATCTACGGTAACAACCAATTTCTCACTACGGGCAAGAGGAAAAAAATGCCTCGGCCCTGATCGACTACACAAATCTGCTTTTTAAAAATGGTCTCACATTATCTGGAGTGCTGTTCCCAGAGGCAGCATTTGAAATTCATGCCGAGCCAAAAGCACCCATAAATCAGCAGAGAAAGTTTTGTTAGTTTTATATGCAGTGAGCTGTAATTATTTGGAATTGCATTATGCCTCCATCATGGTAATTACATTTAGATTATCCTTAAGCGAGGGTGATAAAAGAAGAGAAATCAGGCTTAGACTAATTCCCTCCCCCAAAATGTGTTCAAATAAAGCTAAAGGATTGGCTCAGAGGCCCAAGAGCAGGGCCGGCGCCAGGCGGGCACGCGCCCTGCAGCTCTGCTGCGTGGCACCCCGGGGCCCTGCCCGGCCGCAGCCTCAGGGAACGCAGACCTCTGCACACCTGAAAAACATTACCAATGGGATGCTCGAAGCATCAGGATTTTTGTTAAATAAGTTTTTCCTTCTGTTCACTAAGCCACGCTCACTTCTGCCACATCCACACGTTGACAGACCCCCCGGACCAGACACAACTTCTAACGCGGCAACATCACGTCAAACGGAGTAAGGACGGCGGCCCCAGGAAGGCCGGTGTCGCCGCTCTGGGGTCACCCGAGTCCCAGCAACACACTGCTCTCCAGAAGACAGACTGGGATCTGCCCAGTGACACCCCACCTTTCCTTCCAGAAAACCTTTCCCTTGCCTGTGGATGGGACCGTGGTCACCTGGGACGCCCCGCACTCCTCCCACGGGGGAGAGGCGGCCGCTGGCTGTCATCCACCCCCTCGGAGCCACCTCACAGACACTGAGGCCCCTGGGGGCGTCTGCCCTCTGGGGGCTGTGCAGGACGTGGGACGCCATAGCCGAAGCCCTAGACTTCGTCTGACCCCCCCACGCTGACCCCAAGCCTCCTCACGCACACGGCCTGGGCCAGCAGAGGGAAGGGTCGGGATCCGGGGCCAGGCCGCAGGGCCCCACACGTGCCGCGGTCTAGGGAGCCAGTTTGCAGATGCCAGGCCCAGAGGACAGCCTGAGGGCCGGGGGGCAGGGAGCCCCTCAGAAGGAGGCCTGCTGTCCTGCAGGGATGGACAGAGCTTTGGGGGCTCAGCAGGCGTCCGGCTCCTCCTGGGGCGTCCTGCGTGGGGCAATGCTTTGCTCTCTTTCTTCTAGTGCCAGAGGGACGTGGCACCTGCCACGTAGGTCTCTGGGAGCATCACAGCTCATGGCCGACCGGTTCCGGGGGCCTCCAGGGACCTGGGCTCTGAGGACGAGGATGAGAGAACCTGTGGTGGGAGGAAGAGGGACCTGGGAGGTGAGCACCACACACAAATCCATCACAAACGGAGTGATCGGCGCGTGTCCTGCCCTTGGGGAGTGAGTGTGGGCTGTGCAGCAGACACCAAGCCCCCCGCTGCACGGAGCTCCCCCTGCGCACGCAGAGCTGCTCAGCTCTTCCGCGTGGAGGCTGGGCACCGTGAGCCACTCGCTCTTCAGCAAGCGCCAGTTGACAGCCTTCGGGCGGCCGGACGCTGCCAACAGACGGCACTGCTGGGGGCAGCCTCAGACGTGCCCCCACCCTGCCCTCATGTCATCACGCCATGGGCCCCCCAGAGTCCTGCCTCTCCCAGGTGCACGGCCCCTCATGTCCATCCCTCTGGGGCACACCCCAGCCAGCCACCAGGCGCAGGTGAGTGCCCTCGTGGGCTGGGATGTGCTCTGGGCTGAGGACGGAGGAGCCAGGCGACCCGGGGTCTCTGGCACAATCACTCGGGCTGATGAAACAGAGCAGAAGAGGCAGCTGAGAGGAGCCTGGGGGCTTCTCAGCCGCTGGGTGCCATGGGACACCCCTCAGAGAAGACGCAGGGGTACCTGCTCCCAAACCTCCCTGAGCACCTGTTAGAGCTTGATCTCCCTGCTGTGGAGAGCTTGCTCTCTCCAGCCCACTGTCCCCACTAGGGCCCGTGGTCACTCTCAGTGGCCCCGCTCAGCTCTGAAGCTGACTCTGTGGCCCTGGGCATCTCCAAGGGGACAGCAGCCCTGGACGGATGTTCAGGGAGGACTGCCAGGATTCACTCCGCTGCTTCCAGAGCTTTCTGGCCATGCTGCAACGTCAAGAGGAGCAGAAGACAGTGGGGGCTGGGGCAGCCAGGACAGAGGCCGGCCCCCGACACTGCGTCCTTGGCTCAGGGACGAGCAATGAGGCAGCTGCACCCATCCTTCACAGTGTCCGCCACAATTCCCTCACCCCGGGCCTGGGTCATAAACAAGTTAATGCGCTTGCGGCCTTGCTGAAAACCAGCTCCCAGCGCCGGTGGGCGTCTCCACGGACAGTGGGCAGTCCTCATGCAGGGGGCCCCGGCGGGGCAACGCTTCTTGCGCTGAGCCGACCTCTGCCGCGGCAGGGAGGTGGGCTTCACGGGCGAGTGAAACACACCGTCCCAATGCTTCAATCACAGACGCACCCTCCGTCAGGACTTCACGGAGGACGGAAGGGCACAGCGAGCAACTCTGGGTCAGTGCGTGACTCAGACGGCATTAGCAAGCTCCAAAATGCCGGCGGGCGTGTTTACTAGAACACCCGAATCCAAGATTATCTGTGCAGTGTAATGGCTGCATGCAAATAATAAAACCACACAAAAAGGCCCAAAACCCACTGGAAATCGATCAGCACGTCCTGGTTAACTGTCTGAGCATTGGGTGGTTAAGGAGCCCCTGCTGTCCCCGAGCTTCTGAGCTCCGTGGTGCGGGCACCCCCGGACACGGGGAGGGGGCACCCTCGGCGCTGGTTTTCGGCTGTGCCTCTGGCTGGCAGCACCCGAGGCTTTACCTGTGAGACGCCAGAGGGCCCGCCCAGCCTTCCCAGGGAAGACACGCCCGCGCGCCCCAGCACCGTGGCCAGATCCACCCGCTCCCGTCTAACACTTGCTGGGGGGCCCCTGGCCTCTCCAGGCCCCACAACGAACTGACGATTATCTTCCTGCCTCTCATGGGGAAGGTTACTCTGCCTGGAAATGAGGTTAGAAAATGTGATTCGTACAACGACAGACGACGCAGGTCCTCAGCCCCCACCAAACACCACCCAGATGGACCCACGTGGGCCTGAGAACCTCCCAGAAAGACCACCTGCTGCAGCATGCGGCAGCCAGGATGGGACCCCTCCCCGGAACACGAGGCCTTCAGCTCCGTCTCCTCACTCCCGAGGCGCGTGCTCTGAGGGGTAAGGGCGCCGGGGGGCCGGCGGCCGGGACACACCTCGGGGAAGTAGTCCTGCGGAAACTTCTCCTTCTCCAGCATGGGTGTGCTCTCCAGCGTGTCCGAGTAGATCTCTTTGCCAGTGACCTTTTTATACTTCTTGGCTGGAAAAGAGCAGAAGGGTGACATGAATGACCTCACGGCGGCACCCCACCCCGCGGGGAGCGCGGGGAGCCGCGGGGTGGGGAGGACCCGCTGCTCTGGGGGACGCCAGTGGCTCGTAAATTCCCACCCCACGACCTGGAGCCCGACACTCCACTTCATTATCCCCTAAGAGCTTCCAGCCTGCAGATTTACAAGGGCTAATTGGCATCCTCTGTCAAAACCGTGAATATATTTAGGACGGCTGCAGAATAACCGTTCACTCATACCTTAATACGAATTTACTTAATAACATCGATTTCCTCCTCACAGGCACCCGACATCACTCATGTCCAAGGAATAGCAGTTTTTCTGTGAGGTCGAGACACGGAGTACGGCATGGGCCGCTCCCCAGACCCCACGCCTGGACCAATGCCCCCGCGGACAGGGCTTGGTCTAGACCTTTCACATCCAGGCCCAGGCCTGCTTCTTTCCATCGCTCCACGCCCATGGTGGGGTCTCTCAAGTGGCACCCACAAGATGCCACGCAGGGAGCTCGGGCAGCAGCGGGCCCAGACGGCTGCTCCTGGGCTGGGAACACCTGGGACGAGGTGAAGCTCCCGGCTGTTAGGAGACTGCCAGGGGACAAGCGATGAAGTGTGCTGTCCGTTTCTGTGGTGGTCACGCTCCCTGTCCCCACCTGCAGCTCCTGGAGCACCACGGGCCCCACGGACCCACTGATGGGGGCAGAGAGTGGGAATGAGATACATGGGCAGTGTCTAGTGACAAAGCTCTGGGCACTGCGGGTTTGGGGGGAAAGGGAACCCCAGGTCAAAGCCAAACACTGGTGGGCAAGGACTCTGACAATCTGCCCCACCAGCAGGAGGCAGGATGGGACGTTTGGTGATGGAGGGAAATGAGGACAGAGCAGTGACGTGGAGCCATCCCCCAAAGGCCGAGCTGCACGCTCACTGTGCCCACTGTCTCTCTGGTCTTGCTCCCAAACACGGGGACGATCACCAAGGTGACTGGTGCATGTGGTTCTGTCCCCTCCCCAATCACCATGGCCTCCGAGGCCCGTGGGGGGACACAGGACAAACTCTCTCAGCCAGGAGGCTGGTGCCAGGCGGCAGGTGGGCACGGCTTGTGTCAATGAACAAGTGACCCCCACGTGGCCCACCACGTCCCATTCCCGACACCCACCACTGGAAATGGTGCAGAAGTGTGTCCATCGCGGGACGCACTTCCTGGAGCTACACATCCGTGTCCGTGGACGGACAGCATTTATCAAATACCGCACCGGGGGGCAGTGTAAGCGCCCATCTGAGAAGGCTGCGGGCCACCTGCCCTGGCACGGGGGGCTCCGCAGGGGAGCTAACCACTCCCGGGATGGCGGGCCTGGGCGCCCCACCCGCAATGGGACGGTTTTCTCGTGGCCTCGGCCCGCAGTGTGGGCTTCCTGATGTGCCTCACCCTCCTCCCGTCCCTCCCTGGGCCTTCTCGAGCTGCCTCCTTTTGCCACCGACGCCCAGCAAGGGCCCAGCTGTCCCTCCAGCGGTCAGCACCTGGAGCCAAGCCTGAGTCACAACACCGGGCCGCCGGGGGCACCCACTCCTGTGCTGCAGGGGGTGGATGCCCCCAGGACGGACGCCCACGGTCCTCCACAAGCCACGCGGTCCGCAGCGTGTCAAGGGGGAAGGGGAGAAGAGACTGTCGCGGAGAGACAATTCTGCTTCAGATGAAAACCCTCGTTGCCGTAAGAAAGAGGAAGAGGCTGGGGGAGTCAGAGCAAAAGGAGGCCTTCGTGCTTCGTCCTTTGGCTTAGAGCAGTGTCAGGAGTAAGAACACTGAATGGGAAGCGCCCCGCCCTCCCCAACAGTCTGTCCCCCGCTGACACGGCGCGTGTGCTTACGCCGTTAGGCGCTGAGGTCCGTACCGGAGGTCAGGGCCCCCTGTGTGCTGCGTGTTCCCAGGGCTCTGACAACTGCGCCGTGTCCTCGGGGCGTCGCCCACTCCCCCGCCCTCCCCAGCCCCTGCAACACAGACCACTTACACCCTCTGTCTCCCGCCTTCCCTTACTGTCCTCTTGCTGCCTTTTCCCACCAGCTTCTTTCACTCAGAAATATGGATTTAAGGTTCTTCTGTCTTTCTGTGGCTTGCTGGCTCATTTCATTTTATTGCTCTGTAATATTCCACTGTGTGGATGGACCACAGTCCACTTATCCATTCACCTAGAAAGGACATATTCTGGTTCCTTCCAGTTTTTGGTGATTATGAATAAAGATATTATAAACATTTCTGTAGGTTTTTGGGTGGACCTAAGTTTTCAACTCCTTCGGGTAACATGCCAAGCAGCAGGATTGCTGGACTGTGCAGTAAGCCTACGTTTAGTCTGTAAGAAACTGCCACACTGTCCAAAGTGGCCACACCATGCTGCATCCCCAGCAGCCGCGGGTGGGAGCTCCTGCTGTTCCTCGTCCTCCTGGCGTCTGGGACCGTCAGCGCTCTGGATGGTGGCCGTTCCAACGGGTGCGTGGTGGTGTCTCCTTACACACGATGTGGAGCCTATTTTCAGTTTGATTTGCCATCCGTACCTCTTCTTGATTGAGATGTCTGTTGAAATTTTTTAATTAGATTGTTTTCTTATTGTTGAGTTTTAAGAGTTCTTTGCATATTTTGGATTATCAGATGTGTCTCTTGCAAATATTTTCTCCCAGTCCATGGCTTGTCTTTCCATTCCCTTCACAGTGTTTTGTGCAGAGATTTTTAACTTTAACGAAGTCTAGCACATCAATTTTCCTCATGGACTGTGGTGCTGTATTTAAAAAGTCATCACCAGGATGCCTGGGTGGCTCAGTCGTTAAGCGTCTGCCTTTGGCTCGGGTCATGATCCCAGGGTCCTGGGATCGAGTCCCACATCGGGCTCCCTGCTCTGTGGGGAGCCTGCTTCTCCCTCTCCCCCTCCCCCTGCTGGTGTTCCCTCTCTCGTTGTGTCTCTCTTTGTCAAATAAATAAAATAAAATAAAATAAAATAATAAAATAATAAAATAATAAATAAAATAAAATAATAAAATAAATAAAATAAAATAAAAGTCATCACTAAACCCAAAGTCACGTACCATTTCTGCGTTACCTTCCAGGCATTTTATACTTTCATACCTTACACTTAGGTCTATGATCTGCTTTCAGTCAACTTTTGTGAAGGTGTGAGGTCTGGCTCGAGATTACTTTGCAATGGACGTCCAGTTGTTCCAGCACCATCTGTAAAAGAGACCATCTTTGCTCCATTGTGTTGCGTTTGCTCCTTTGTCAAATGTCAGTCGACTGTATTTATGGGGGTCTGTTTCTGGGCTCTACTCTGTGCCGTTGATCTTTTTGTCTATTTTTTTCACCAACACCATACTGTCTTAATTACTGTAGCTTTTATAGTGAGTCTTGAAGTCGGGCAGTGTCAGTCCTACAACGTTGTTCTTCTCTTTCAATATTGGGTTGACTATTCTGGGTCTTTTGTGTCTCCATGTAAACTTTGGAATCAATTTGTTGATGTCTACAAAGTAACTTGCTGGAATTTCGATTAAGATTGTACTGAATCAATGGATCAAGCTGGGAAGAACCAGTATATTAACAATGTTGAGTTTTCCTGTCCATGAACATGGGATATTGCTCCATTTACTTAATCCTCTTTGATTTCTTTTCAGCAAAGTTTTGTAGTTTTCCTCATATTAATCTTGTACATATTTTGCTAGATTTCTTTTTTTTTTTTATTTATTTGACAGAGAGAAAGACAGCCAGAGAGGGAACACAAGCAAGGGGAGTGGGAGAGGGAGAAGCAGGCTTCCCGCGGAGCAGGGAGCCCGATGTGGGGCTCGATCCCAGGACCCTGGGATCATGACCTGAGCCAAAGGCAGACGCTTAACGACTGAGCCACCCAGGCGCCCCTAGATTTATTTCTAAGTATTTCTTTTGTGCATGTGCTAATGTAAATGGTATTTCGTTTTTAATTTCAAATTGCACCCATTTAGTGTTGGTAGAGCAAAGTCACCGACTTTTGTATATTAGTTTTGTATCCTGCAACCTTGCTTATTTGTACCAGTTTTTGTTGTTGATGATTCTCTCAGATCTTCTATATAATCATGTCATCTGAGAACTAAGAGAGTTTTAATCCTTGCCATCCTTTATTTCCTCTTCTTGTCTTAATGCACAGCCAAGATTTCTGGTGCAATGTTGAAGGGAAATGGTGACAGTGGACATCCTGACTTAAGACCAGAAGCATCTAGTTTCTCACCATGACGTGTGATATGGGATGTAGGTTTCTCTAGCTGTTCTTTACCAAGTTGAAGTAGTTTGCGGAGACTTATTATGAATTGGTGTCAGACTTAGTCAAATACTTGTTCTGCATCCATTGACATGATCATGCGGCTTTCTTCTTTAGCTTGTTGATATGATGTATTAGATTAACGGATTTTCAAATATAGAACCAGTCTTGCGTACCTGGAATAAATCTCAATTTGTCATGCTGTGTGATTCTTCTCACATGCTGTTGAATTCAAGTTGCTAATATTATGTTGAGGATTTTTGTATTTTATGTTCATGAGAGCTACTGGCCTATGGTTTTCTTTTTCTGTAATGTCTCCCTTTGGTTTTGGTATAAGGTAATGTTGGCCTCACAGAAGAAGTCAGAATGTTTTCTCTCTGCTTCTATTTTCTGAAAGAGATTATAAAGAATTGGAATAATTTCTTCCTTCAATGTTTGGTAGAATTCATAGTGAAACCATCAGGCCTGGTGCTTTATTTTTTAGAAATTTATTAATTATTGATTCAATTTCCTTAATAGACAAAAGGCCTATTCAGATTATCTAGTCCTCCATGTATGAGTTTTGGTCAATTGTATTTTTCAAGGAATTGGCTCATCTAAATCATCAAATTTATAGGCACAGACCTGTTCACAGTATAACTTTATTATCCTTTCAATGTCTATAGCGTCAGTAGTGATGACCCCTCTCTCATCTCTACTATTAGTAAT